CATTTTTTTTTTTTTTTTACTTAATCCCTTCATTTATTTCACCCAGCCCCCTGACTTCCCTCCCCTCTGACAGCTCTCAGTCTATTCTCTATAATTATAGGTCTGTTTCTATTTTGCTTATTCTGTTCATTAGATTCCACATATGAGTGGCATCATGTGGTACTTGTCTTTCTCTGGCTTATTTCACTTAGTGTAACGCTCTCCAGGTCCATCCGCGCTGTCACAAAAGGCAAGATTTGCTTCTTTTTAAGGGCAAGTACATTGTGTAAATGTACCACAGCTCCTAACTTTTTAATTTTACCATGTTTATACACACATCTAGGGTTCATTTTCTCTGCGTACTGTTAAGTAAGAAAAGAATTTGCTAGCCTTGAATTTTGTGTTTTGTCAATTAGTAGTTAACATTTGTATTCAGGTGGAACCTATCATAGAAATGAAGGTAATATGAACAGTGTAACGAACTACACAGTGGGAGCAGTAACCAGAAAACAAAAGTCATGACGGCAAGGACAGGTGTCTGTCCGGTTCACCGTGGTAGCCCCATGCCCAGACAGGCCGGCACTCACTAAAAATGTGTTGGGGGTGGGGGGGAATGAATGAATAGGTAACTTGTGTAACAAAAGACCCAAAACACAATGTCTTGAACATAATAACAGTCTTGTTCTCCTGTGACAGTCTAAAGCAGGAGGTTAGGTCTGAGGAGAGGAGTCGAGGGCTTGCTCCAGACAGTTTTTCAGAGACTCAGGCCAACTGCCTCTCCGCCATGTTCAGCAGGTAGCACTCTGGTGGCCTTCACCTCCACTCTAGCTCACAACAAGAAAGAGTGAATGGCATGGAATATACCTGGGGGGTTAGTCTATTAACCAGGCCTGGAAGCCACACAAATTATTTCTCACATCATGTTGAGAGAAGGTGGTCACATGGCCATATCTCATTGTAAAGGAGACAGGAAGTGCGTTGTTCCCTAGCATGTGGCTCCTTCATTACTGCAGGGAAAAAGTAGATTGGATTTGGGTGGACAGCTGGCAAGCTCTTCCATAGACACCTTCTTACAGTACCAGTAGTTATTTTTTTAATGTGAATTAATTTCTACAGTTTGAGGCAGTAAAACATAAACTGTACAAAAGAGTACAAAAAGAAATTCAAATCTGCCATTAATCATTGTTAATGAGAACATATCAACTATTCACCTTCTCTTTGAGCTCAAGGTTAGAATAATGAACCTGTTTTGACTAGCAGCATTCCATGTAGCCTTCAGACTGAGCTGTTTGTATATTGAGAAAAGGCTTTGTGTGTGTGTGTGTGTGTGTCCTCTATAAAGGCTTTGTCAGCATTTTATAGTTTTAGAAGACAAATCTGTTTTTGCTCCAACTGGTTTCAAGTGCTTCAGCGGTCAAACAGGTTTTGAGCCCAGCCTCAGTGCGGGTCGGGAGGGAGACAGTGCAGGGGAAAGGATTGAAAATAAATTCCACAGACTAAAGCTTTTTAAGAAACTTCTGCTCTTTTTAAATTTGAGGTTATTTTTATAATTTAGAAGGGTGGTTCTTAAATTTCAGCTCATTCTGATACCCCAAAATTGTCCAAATAAATTATGTTATACAAACAAATCTGTGTGTTTTGTATAATTAAACAGATCTATGTGTTTTGAAAGTCACTGGTAGGGCTTATATAAGGCAAAATTTTCTGGATTATAAAAAGAGTTTACCTGTATTTTTTTTAAATGGAATTCAAAAAGCAATTTCTTTACATTACACTTTTAAAGTCATAATCTGTTCTTTGCTATTTCTTAAAATTACCTATTGTAAAAGTTTCCAACTTTAGATGGCTAATTAAAAGTTAATGCATGAAAACATTTTTTGTAAGAATTCTATTAACTTCAACCTTTAACGAATGAAAACATTAACGAGCTACTTCTCACACCTAGAAAAGTGTCTGAGACATAAAACAGTTCAAAACTTTCCGAAGGAATCACGGCAGTATTTTCTCCTAAGACAAGTACTATTTACAACTACAGAACATTTGAAGTCCAGTAACATACTTCTCATACAATGAAAGCATTCTACATTTCAGCCATTATTTTGACCCATACATTCCATTTGCCCCTTCCCCCATCTCAGTGAAGTGGAGGAATTGCTGATCTATTTCCTATCTTAATCTTCCCTCCCTAAACCTTAGACAAAGAAGGGAAGTCAGAATTTATAAAACATTTTCCACACATAGAAATAGGTACTTTCATTATTGTACTCATAGATCTTTACTATCCTTGTTGGTTTCATTCCAGAAAAAGCTGAGGTAGGTTGCTAGTTATAACACATTCGTCATGTGTTCCTGTTTCCAAAAGGTATGGGGCAGCCCAACTGCCTTAGCAAAGGAGCACTGTGCACCTGCGCGCTGCTTCAGTGGAAGCAGACCATGACTATTCAACAGTCTCCTATGTGTGGAGGACAACATGAAAACTGGAATTATTATAAAGCTTCAGAGAAAAATACTGAACAATATTGAAAGTCACTATTTTTCAATGACATCTGCAGAAACTCAGATCCTTGGGGAGTTCTTAGGCATATGGACAAAACAATTTTTTTGAAGTAGGGGAGGGAAGGGAGTTGAAGAAGCTACTACTTACTTGTTTTAACCCTGGAGATGAGCTAAACTTTCTCACATTTTCAATTGCTTTTTGCAAAGCTTTCAATTGTATAATATACCTATCTTTTTAAAAATAATTCTCAAAACTGTTATCAATTATATCTTAGTTCTTTTTGTTTAGGAAAAAAATAATCTAACATCATCTAACTTTAATAATTAAAGAAATATCTTTAAATTTATGTAATGCTATTATGGTTTATTTTTTGTTCTCACTTTCTAAATGTTTCTTAGCCTTAATCTAAATATTGTTATCTCTTTTGAAATATCCATTTGCATATCATTATAAATGTATTTCATTGATGTTTTAAAATGATCCGAAGGTAACTGGTTGTGTTTTGGCTACGAATTCATGTTTCAGAACTTTAGGAAAACCTAATACTATTGCACTAGATCTTACACTAAAGATTTTGATAATCTGTTGAAGATTATGAATGAGAACAAACAGAGGTTCTTTGTCATAGGTATATGACTCTTTATCAGGAAGACCACATTCAGGTAATAAGAGCAATCTTGCTTTGGTTTAAAGAGAGCCATTTTAAAAAGGCCTCTTCTAATGTAAACTTTAAAGGTATAAATAGGTGAATATGCTTATCATAATTTTTTTAATTTCTCAGATTTATTCTAAAATTATCTAACTGTGAATTACCCAAGCATGTAAATCAGTGTTCAGTAGCAGACACAGTCTTTTCAGTTCCTGGGACATTGTCTTACCCGTGGACAAATAGTAAAAAATTTTCCTTAGGTATTCCATAGTTTTAGAAATAATAATGTCAGTAACAACAACTAATATTCATTAAATGTGCTGGGTATTATTCTGGCACTTTACATGTATTATCTCATTTTAATCCTCATGACCACACTATATTAAGTATTGTTACCATCTCCATTTTCCATATGAGCAAATTGAAGGTCAAGAAGGGTCATACAGTTGATAAATGATGAAGCCACCATTACAACAGTTATATTATGCTGTCTCCCTTTGTTTCTATTCTTTGATGCCGCCTACACTTTAAACTTTAAGAATTCTAGACAAGGTGGCCGAACCAAGAGATGGAAAATAATTCATCCATCCTCCATGCTAATGATTTTTTCCTACTCTATTTATATGTGTATTTTCTAGAGATTTTTATATATGTGAATTTAATGGGATTACTGCAATCCTTAATCAAATTTATTTTGTAAAGGGTTTTTCTTAATGTGAGGTTATAAATGTAGATGAACACGTGTTGCGTCCATCTGTGTTCTTTTTTTCAAAGATACAGATTAGGTGAATTGTGCTTAATGTCTTTTAAAAAAAAATCTTTACTTGGGGACATTTTTTCATTGCTTTTAGAGAAAGAGAGAGAAAGAAACATCAATGGGTTGCCTCTCATAGGCTCCCCAACTGGGGATCAAACCCACAACCCAGGTATGTGCCCTCACCGGGAATCAAACCTACAACCTTTTGGTGTAGGGGACGATGCTCCAATCAACTGAGCCACCCCGGCCAGGGCATGCTTGATATCCTTTTAATGCAGATATGAATCTTTGAGTTCAGTGGTATTCATGTCCAAATCTCCAAATCAGCTATGTTTTTAAGTCTACTGAAAGTAGAAACAAACAAACAAAAATGCTCTTGTTTGCTTATTTGTAATCTTCCTTCATGGGATTTGCTTACTTATTCTGTGCTCAGTCATCTGAATTGTATATAAAAAGCATTGGCTGGTATTCACAGAGGCAGTCAAAAAATTTCACAGATATGCCTCCTGATAAGCATCAAGCCCACTTGGTCAGCATGAAATACATGCTATCAAAAGTAAGTTTGCCATTTGCATATTATTCATCATAGCAAATATAAAGATTAACATTAAATATTGCAGAAAGGTTCTTAAGTTAACTCCACTTCTTCTCATGATATATTATAGCTTAGGTACGTATTGCATATTAGCAATATACACTGGAAAGTTGTTAAATAAGCAGTGACTGTTACATCAGTTCCTGATTAGATTCAAGGTCAGATTCCTCAATTCTAGTTCCAATGCTACCCTCATATTCTGGCAATCTGGGTTTTGCTATATTTAGCTATAAAATGTGGATAAACACCCAGCAGGACATCATAGGGTACAATGACCATTTCTATGATGTATGATGCTGTCAGATTTTTTTTTAAAGGAATGATAAAGTTTAACATACACTTTTGTGCAAGCAGTGTCTAATAATCTGTCATAATTTTACGGATTTTAACAAACATAGAAATAGGAGTCAAAATTAGCCACATCTGCATATCATCTGATTTTTCTCTTTTAAAAAAGGGAGAGTCTGCTGTTGCATATTTCTTACCATTCCTACTCGTCAACCAATGACTTGTTTCGTTACAGAATATGGAAAGTCTCAATTCCACACCATCTCATGAGAGGGCTCCACCTGGTGATGTTGAACTGCTGTCCGATGACAGGTAATTTTAGAATTTTCTCCTCACATTGTTTATGAATAGATTTTTTTCACTTATTTCAGTGTGCATTATAAGAGCTTAAAAGAATAGAATTAATGGGCTATATGTTTATCAACAGTGTTTTATAGCAAGAAAAATACTTAGAATAAAAAAAATCTACCCTGGTGCTATAAAAGACAAATACCATATTCATGTTTGTGTTTCTATTTTTGTTTTGTTTTGATTACTGTTTTGTTTTGTTTTGTTTTGGGGTTTTATAAGAATTTTATTTAGAGCTACTCAGCTTACTTTTAAACTAAATCATAATTTCAATGGATGAAAAGCATTATTATAAAACAGATTGACATTTTATGATATTTTGTTGTTGTTTATAGCAAAGAAAGTGAAAAAGACAGCGGACACGCCCAGCAGTGTGAGGTGAGTGGCTAACAATAAAATAGTGACTGGGACAAGAGGGGCCCTATATTCCTGCGAGTACCTGTGAGGTATCATTAGCCTGTCAATGGGGATAATGAGATTAAGTGACAGGGATGTGATTAGTTAGAAGAGTAAATACGGAGACAAAGATTACCTGAGAAATCACAAGAACTCCATTCTTTTGCTTTTTTGATTCTTTTGTTTTACTTGCACAGATAAACTTCAATGGCATGGAGATTTGTCTTTAGGTTTTCCATAAAATAAAACAAAAAAATCAAAGCTACTGGTTTGATTTTCCATGATTTTATGCATTTTTAAGTGATTGAAATAGCCAGAGAGTTTCAATGGCTCTCTCACGGGGATTATCTCATTAACTTTCAAATTAACATAAAATCAGTTTGGGATAAAAAATCCAATTCATTTCCTGAGTTTTGTGTCTCATTTTAAGTAAACAAAGTAGAAAATGTATCTAACTCCCTAATGTGGTCTATGCCGTAAAATTTTGGTTCCTTGCCTGGCTTCCCCATTGTCTTCCAAGGGCATGACCCTGTTGACCCAAGTATTTGGTTTCCTGGCTCTCAACTCTGGCTCAGCTTCATTTTTCATTCGTGTGTGTATCTCATCTACCACTGCCACATGCTTCCAACCTCACCTGCATTCTTATGTTTTCTTTTTGACAAGAATTAAAGCTTTTCTCAACCCATTCTTGGATTCTGACTCTTGGTATATTAATTCTACATAGAACTCTCCTTCTAACCCAGTGATTCCTAATCTGTGTTTGGCACCGACCTAATTCACTGATGGATTAATTCAATAATTTACCATGTATTGAGTCCTACTATACACATGTACTGTGCTAGGAGCTGGATTTTAATAGCAGCTACAGCCCCTTCCTCCACAGTTTTATAATCCAGCTGCTTACAATCTGAAAGCTCTGGACCCCCTTCTTAGAAAAATGCACATTCATGTAAAAGTTGACATAAAATTGCTGGAAATTAATGACCATTCCCCTCCCAATGCTATGGGCTCCTCATATTTTCTCTATTCAATTCTTGTCATGTAAGCTTCTTCATTAATGCAGTGAGATACAGCTTCTAGCCACTTCTCTCATCTCTTATTTCCAGCTCCTTCAAGGTGCCTTCCTTGGGACCCAGGCAACAAGCTGACTTTCTTTTCTTGTTCCTGAGCCTCTTTTATCAGAGCACAGTTTCCCCATGATAATGTCGTTTTATTTTTCTTCTGGTTTTATCCCTTCTCTGCTCTCTTCCTCTGTTCACAGCAAGCACCTACTTACCATGCCATTGAACTTTATTTTAAAGAAAATTGCTTTGCTAGCCTCCAGGAGAGGTCTCCTCACTTCTCTTTTATGCCTACTATCTTTTATGAGATAAAAGGGTACAGGGCAACCTTTATGGGTGAACTTCAAAACATTAACTCATAAATTCCAACTGGCACCCAAACTTAATTCATACTGACCGCAGTTTGCCTTGATAATTTTGTGGCTGGCTCCTGTGGCCATAGCTGAATCATGGGGGAAAAAAATCTCAAATCCTTCTTTCATGTGCCAGGACCTGTCTTACATGTGCCACCATATGCAGTCACCGGTCAGTACTTCGCCCACCCTTGGCACTCCTTAAGCATTCACTATTAATCATCATTGTCATCGCAGTAATTTCAGCTAGGAGGTAAAATTAGGCAGTGAGTTAAAATCTAGACTGAGCTTTCCGTATCATCTTTCTTTTACAACTGCACCAACAGAGGGAAAAAAGACATCACTCCACAAGATGTGGGATCAAGTTTCTGCTCGTGAAGGCAGGTGCTTCTTTCACTGAAGGCAGTGTTTTATTATTAATGAAGGGCTGTGAAAAGATCCATCTTACATTTTGAAATCTTTTTCCCTGTTTTAGTGTGTTGTAACTTTTTACCTTTTAAAATATGTAATACTTTCTAGAACTTATTATACAACTGAAATAATTAATGGGTTTTCTGGTAATACTGCAAAAATTTCCACATTTCAGGGACAAAAATAAGTCTAGACTTTGGTTACATCTCCTCGAATTCTGGTTTGCCAATATTTTATTTCAAGTCACGAGATACCGAAATTTATATGATAATGTTTCCAATTTCATTTTCCATTAAGGCAGATTTTGTCCTCATTAATATTATTGTCTGTTAAATTCTGAGATTCATGCAAGATATAGCAAGCGACACCTATTAGAGAAAAGTGGCTCGTCTTTCTCATTCTGACCAGTGTTTCTATCAGTATGAGGAACACTAACCTTTAGCCTCAGAAATGGTCTGTAAGCTGAGTAGCTCAGTTGTTTGTAGGCCGGTGTGCACGGTTGTCGGTTCTATCACCAGTTGGGGCACAGCCAGGAAACAACCAATGAATGCATGAATATGTGGAACAACAGATATATATGTGTTTCTCTCCCTCTCCCTTCCACCACCCCTCCCCCTCCTTTTCTCTCCTCTTTTCCCTCTCCTTTTTTTCAATCCTCTCTGTCCCCCACTCCCTCTCCATTCCCATCTCTCTATAAAAAAAATCAGTAAGTAAAAATTAAAAAACAATGTTCTTTAAAGAGAGACTTTTCTGAAAGTCTGCTTCTCAACGGCAAATGCAGGCACAACTGCAACTATATTTTTTAAATAATCATTTGGCAACCTTAAATGTGTTTTTGTTTGAATGACTGTGTTGAAAAGTAAAAATAGGCTTTTCTCTTTGTTGCACATCTTTTTAAGTTCTTATGATTATATTACTAATCTTATGCAAAAAGAGAGTCGGCTATGATCTCAGATGGCAAATGAGAGTTCTCCATTTCATCTCACTTTAAGTGGTTTGTATTAAAAGCTGACATGTTGATAATGAAACACAAAGAGTCAGTTCAAAATGTCAAAACCTAAAAGTATGGTTTCTTTGAGTAGATTTTAGAAAGATGTACATTTTAATAAAATAATCTGTTTGGGACAATATATAATGGTATAACAGGAAGAACCTAGGAAAGCTAAGTTGGTAGGCTAGGTAAACACGGCTCACCTGCTTGCACAACCACATCAAAATTGCAACTAAACTACAGAACAACCATTATTCCAAACCACCAGAAATTAAGCTGAATGGAAGTCCTACAACTATGGAATTAAAGGAGAAACTACACCAAGCCTGGTAGGAGGAGCAGAGACGTCAAATGGGCTGGTCCCACACCCATCTGTGGCAGATAAAAATCAGGAGGGATATATCAGGAGCAAGGGGTCCCAGCTCCACACCAGGCCCTCCAGCCCAGGGGTACCAGTGCCAGGAAGATAAGTCCCCATAATTTCTGGCTGTAAAAACAGGTGGGATTGAGGCTGTGGATCCCCAGGCAGTTCTTCTTACAGGTCCCACACACAGACTTACTCAGACTCACTCCCTCTGAGCTGTAGCACCAGAGCAGCAGCTTAAAAGGCATCAGAGGCATACAGAGAGCAACTGAAGTGTCTGACATCAAGGCGAGAGCTTGGGGACAGCTTTCTCCCATACAGAAACACTGGCAGAAGCCATTGTTCCTTTTCTGAGCCCTACCCCTACCCACAACGCCAGCAGGTGAGTACCATATCTGAGACTCCATCAACCTGACTCACACTGTTTGCCCCACCCTGGCGATTCCCTGAGGCTCTACCCAACTTGGGGCCTACTCAAGCTGTTTCCAATGACCTTTCCATATAGAGGGCTTGTCTTGGCTCATGTTTCAGATTTTTTAAAGTCCTCTCAAATAAGCAGCATCTGGCCTCAGGAAGCCACACACCTCGTGCTAAGTGGTCCCAGGCCTGGCCTTTGCAGTAGCTGGCTTTGGTTCACAGCTTGGCCTCTCTGGGGACACCTCACAGCACAGCACAAGTAGCAGCCATCTGCAGATTGCTTTGTAGCTTATGCAAGTGGCCCCAGACAGAACACAGTGGTCACTGACCTTGGCCTACACATGCCAGGAAGCCCCAGATCCTGCATACCCAGTGGACAGCTACAGAACATGTTGGAGCACCACCACCCAACCGCCTCCACAAGTGACATACTCAAGGGGCAGAGTCAGCAAGCGCCAGGGACCTGCTGAAGTAAGTCCTGTTCTTTGGAGTGGGCCACTGCACTGCTGATCATCCACAGGGGCTGGAGGTTGGTGGTCAATGGTCACAGCCAATCCTTGCAGCTGATCGTCCTGGATAATCCCTCCCATTGACATTTCAACAGCAATCACAGCTCAACTACAAGAGGAAGGTGAACTCAGCCCACACAATGGGTGCACCACTAGTACCCAGCTTGGGTGATAGGGGAGGCTGTGCCTCTAGACACTACAGGATACCTACTACTTTGGGCGGTACTACCAAGAAAGGGAGTCGAAGCAGTTAGATCTAATACATAGAAACAAACACAGGGAGACTGCCAAAATGAGGGGACAAAGAAATATGGCCCAAATGAAAGAACAGAACAAAACTCCCAAAAAAGGACTAAACAAAATGGAGACAAGCAAGCTACTAGGTGCAGAGTTCAAAACACTGGTTATAAGGATGCTCAAGCAACTTAGGGGAAGAGAGGATAAACTCAGAGAGAACTTCAAAAGCATTAAAAAGGTCATGGACACCATAAAAAAGAACCAGTCAGAAATGAAGGATACACAGTATCTGAAATGAAGAACAATTTACAGGGAGTCAACAGTCGAGTAGATGAAGCTGAGAATCAAATCAGCAATTTGGAATATAAAAAAGTACAAAACACCCAATTAAAACAGCAAGAAGAAAAAAGAATCCAAAAAAATGAAGATAGTATGAGGAGCCTCTGGGACAACTTCAATTATACCATCATCGGGGTACCAGAAGGAGAAGAGAGAATGAGCAAGAAATTGAAAACCTATTTGAAAAAATAATGAAAGGAAATTTCCCTAATTTGGTGAAGGAAATAGACACAAATCCAGGAAGCACAGAGAGTGCCAAACAAGATGGACCCAAAGGGGACCACACCAAAACACATCATA